GCTCTGACCATTTCTGTGCTGACACTCCTGAGGAGGCAGTGCCCACAGGACCACGAGGCACACACATCTTTATAGTGTTTTAGAATGTGAGCAGAGCTGTGATCCACACACATCCTTGTTCCTCCACTCCAGGGCTGAGATGTCACTGATTTGAAGAGTTCCGAAGACTTTTTTTTACCTCACGTAACAGGAGTTAATTTTCTCTATGAATGCGCAACAAGCACCTAGCACCAGGCCCCGCACTGAGGGAATATGGCCATCTCTGCTCTCAGGAAACAGACTGGCGGGCAGGTTAGACATGTAAATGGAAGTGTACTGAAACCGAGACTCACTGTGATGAAGCCTGCCAGCAACAGGGCACCCACATTATTTTTGTTCAACTAAAATTCCCTTAAAGTGAAATTATAGGTTCAGCCCAGTGTTGTGGAGGTTAAAGGAAATGGACTCCACGTGGCTGACTATACAGTTCCCAGACTCAGATGCTTGAAAAACATGTAGTGAGTGTGTACCCAAACTCCAACAGGATGGAGAGACGAAGGGACTGTGATGGGACCATGCCCCACACTGGGAGCTTTCTTTCTCTCTGTATATGCCCATATCCTATGGCAACATTTTATTAAAAACAAAAACAAAAAACCAAAAAAACAAGGACTGTGACGGGACCATGCCCCACACTGGGAGCTTTCTTCCCTCTCTCTCTGTATATGCCCATATCCTATGGCAACATTTTATTAAAAACAAAAACAAAAAACCAAAAAAACAAAAAGGAAAGTATATGTACACCATTTGCTGATGTACACTTGGTTGGAATTTTGGGGTTTAGAAAAATATTACTAATGTTACAAAGTTTGGGGAGAAAAGACTTTCGCATTTACTGAGTACAGACTATTTGCCAAGCAGCTTCAGGCATTATGGGTATACATGATCTCATTTCAGATATAGTTTCCAGTCTTCTAGCCATTACAGGCTGAGAACTTAATCTGGAGGAAGAACCTGTTTTTACTTCCTGCATCAATTCGATGACTGTGTCTGGGAATTCATTCTGGAACTTTGTGACACTTGTCATGGAACTTTATTGCTCCGTCTGTGAAAGACCTGATTCTCACGAATCCACAGTTGCACAGCCACCAGGTGGCAGTCACAGGTCTCTGGTGAGGCCTTTGTCTCCCTCAGGATACATCATCCCAAGGCTTAAGTTTCAATGCTTTTTAAATACTCAATTACACCCACCATTTCCTGTGACTACTTCATGAATGAAAGCTGCTTTTAAGTTATGTAAGGGGTCCTCAGAAAGTGCATGGACAGTGTTCATGAATGGGTTTCAAAACTTTTTTGTACCATAAGTTCTCATTTTACAACAAAGTTTTTTCCTCCCAAGACAATGGTTGCCTTTTTGTCTTTAAGATACCATATAACATGGGCAGGTGGCGTAGCACTTAAGGCTGATGGACTCCCACATGGTCAATCACGGTTCATGTTCCTGGACCTGGTGGCTTGCTTTCTCTCTCTCTTACCCTGTCCCTCTTTATTTATTTTTTGTTTATTATCATAATCGTGTTTATATTACATTGAATCACATATAAATTTACAGTGTATTACATTTCTTTTTCCCGAAGGAATACCATGCATACAAGTCAATACAAAGACATTAAAATTCCTATCATCGTCACCATCAAATAGCTTTTCATTATTTTTTCCCAGATTATTCCGATTTTTTTAAACAATCAGTATTTACCATTTTGCTTGTAAAAAGACTTTACCCAACATGAACTATTTCTCAGACCAGTCCAGTCGAGAATACTGTACATGTCATTAATAGGTAATAAACCATGTGTGTCCCAGTAATGTTATGCCTATTTGTTCTCTTGCTTTCTTTCCTTCTCCATACTCTTCTCTTCTCCTGCCCCGTTCCACACTGTCTTCATCATTATTTTCACTGCTTTTATGCCCTCCAATATTTCAATCTCTACCATAAAGTGTGGATAGTCGGTATATATTAAGTGGATACATACATTATCTCTTTTTTTTTTTTTTTTTTTTGCTATAGGGCGTGTGTGCTCGCCAGACAGACAGAGACAGAGACACAGAAAGCAAGAAATCACCCTCCCAGGGGGGATGGCCATGCCGCAATCCCTTCTCCTCCATTCTCCTCTCAGGATCTTGGGCACGCACGCACACGTGCCCGGCATGAGTTTAAGCCACCGGGTCTGGGATTCAAACTGTGGTCGACTACGTGGGAGTCCAGCGACATAGCCATTACGCTAACTGCTGGTCCCTCAGTATCTTTCTTTCATATCCTGACTTGCTTCACTCAGCAATAGATTTGACCAGAGAGGGATAGAACAAAACAGTGAGAGCGAGCGAGGGAAAGTGAGAAAGCAAGCCGCCAGGTCCAGGACTCAAACCATGGTTGGTCATGTGGGAGTCCAGCACCCTTAACTACCGCACCACCTGCCAACCCTATAGAAAAACAAAACCGCCATATAACAGCCTTAGAAATCATCTGGGTTGGGGCAGCAGGTGGCGTGGCGACTAAGGGTGCTTTTAAAAAAATCACCTGGCTTGTTAATGTAGCTGAAGAAATCTTTGATCTTACTCATCAGTCTGCTGAACTTTCTTCCTTTTTCGGAGACATCCAAGAATTTTCTCATATCCTTATTTTTAACTGTTGTGGCTTGCTGTATCAAAGCAGCTGAACTTGAAACAAGTTCAATGTCATTGCCTTCAAGGATCACCTCATTTTTCTGGACTTGAGATACTGAAAAAGCAATACCTGGTGGCATTTGAGCCATCCGGATATATTTTTTATCCAAGAAATTTTGGATTTCAACAAGAGACTCATTCTCCTGAATAACAATATCGATGGGGAATGTTCACCCTTGATCATGTTCTGCATGTGACTACAAACCACAGCCAGTTCCTTTGTTTCCCCACCATTCGTCAACCCAGTCTCGAGACTGGGCTCTACACTGATGCGCTTGAAGTCCCTCTGCAGGGTTCCTTTGGGGTCCTTCACAATAATTACGACCCTTCAGAGTGATGTTATTTTCTGGAATGCTGCCAGTCTGACTGCTGAGAATGGTCTTCATCCTCACAGTAAATGCGTAAGTCAACAGACTTGGTCACATGGGAGCTGGCTGCCTTAACCCAGGCCAGGGGCTGGCTCTATAGTACTATGAGGTCATTGGGAAAGTCATCACGCATTTTTTTAAATGCAAAAATGTGCCATGACTTTCCTGACAATCCAATATTTACAAATAATATTTGTCTATGGTAGTTTTATAAAAACGATTACCAGGATTTATTGGGTTGTTGGAAAAGTCATGATGCATTTTTGCAACAAGTGGTGCTAGTTTGTTTTTGGAAGTACTAGTCTTTCACATCTATGTTACTGTTATGTCATTTGACAGCTGACAGTTGTAGCTTCATTCTAAAAAGAAAAGTCAAGTGATTTGGTTGAGTTTTTGAAATTTTACAAGTTGAAGATGGAAGACCAAACTGCATTTTCATCGTATTTTACTGTTTTACTTCTGTAAGAATATACATCAAGCTTGTAAAAATTGTGTGAAGTCGGGACTAGCAGTTAGTGTAATGGCTATGGCGCTGGACTCCCATGTAGTCGACCATGGTTCATGTCTCAGCCCCGGTAACTTGAACTCACGCCAGGCATGTGTGCGTGTGTGCCCAAGATCCCAAGAGGAGAATGGAGAAGGGATTGTGGCATGGCCATCCCCCCTGGAGGGTGATTTCTCGCTGTCTCTGTCTCTTGTCTTTCTGGCGAGCGCACATGCCCTATAGCAAAAACCTCTAAAAAAAAAATTGTGTTAAGTTTCTGGTGACAACACTCTGTGAGAACGTCAGTGTCACTGATGGTTTATGAAATTCTGTGCTGGTGATTTTGATTTCAATCACATTCTTCGGTCAGGGAGGGCTGTCAAGGCTAATGACAAAATAAAGGCACTGACTGACTCAAACCCAGGTTACATGACATGAGAGACAGCAAAAACATTGGACATCCATCATTCAAGTGCTCATGACTACCTGAAGGAGCTTATGTATGTAAGGAGGCTCAATTATTTGGGTTCTTTATGAACTCAAAAAGTTCACTTGACAGTGCATATAAACATTTGTGTTAAACGTGAGGAAAACTATCCTTTTGTGCAGTAACCGATAACTGCTGATGGGAAGTAGACTGTTTACAAAAATGCAGTGTGCGGTCTTGGTCTCAATGTGATGATTCACGTCAAGTAACTGCTGACGGGAAGTAGACTGTTTACAACAATGCAGTGTGTGGTCTTGGTCTCAATGTGATGATTCACGTCAAATGACATCGAAAGCACACATTCATCAGGGAAAGGGTATGTTCTCAGTGTGGTGGGATTTTAAAGGTGTCATGTTTTTCGAGCTCCTACCAAGGAACCAAATAGTCAATTTGAATGTGTACTGTCACCAATTGGACAGTTTCAACAAATCCATCAGTCCAGAGCTTGTTGATTGTAAAGATATTGTGTTCCATCATGATAATGTGAGACCACACACAAGTTTGATCATCCGTCAAAAATTATTGGAGCTTGGAGGGAATGTGTTGCCACACCCATCATTCTTGCCTAACCTTGCACTGCCAAACTCCCACTTGTTCTACTCTCTTCAAACCATCTTGTGTAGTATAATGTTCAATTCAGATGAGGCTGTAAATTAGTACCTTGTTTGGTTTTTCACAATAAAGATAGGTCCTTCTATGAATGAATCATAAAGCTCACTGTAAGATGGCAAAAGGTTATTATGCAAAATGGGCAATATATCACTGATCTTTGTTCTTTATATAAATAAATGACCTTTGAAAAACAGAAAAAAATATCGTGACTTTTACAACCCAATAATTAATATTTGAAGAAAATTCAATGTTAGTTTATCATTTATAAAGTACTTATTGTGAATTTCCATGAACATATTGTTTAGTAAGGTTCTTCTCTTAATAAAAACAATGCCAAATAACCAAGTATTATTCCATCATTTATTTAAGGAAACAGTTTTATATAGCAGGACAAAGAAGCAGAAGTTATCTAAAAGCCTCTAAAAAGAATTCCACTTAGTGCTATGAGAAAGGCTCTCTCCTTTTTTTACTTCACACTGAACAGCAACCCTGCCTAAGTCTGTTATCTCATGTCACAAAGTCCTCAAGCACAGGGATGACTGCCATTAGCAAGTCTAGCACAAAAACCATGACCCAGTCTGCCAACCTGAAAAAGAACTGACAGGCTGTTATCTGCCTACATATAAACTAAAAAATGGGTTTAGGAAAACAATCTGTTTGCAAATGGCATTGCATTTTTATTTGAAATGTTAAAAATTGTCACTAAGAAAATAGGACACAGGTTAGAAAAGTTTTTATGTAGGCAAATGACTCTTAGACTCTATTTACAGTAATGGCAGGCAGTGGTGGCAGCTGATGGGCCCGGGGCAGTGCACACGCAGGCAGGTGTGGCAGGCGGAACACAGGCTGCAGCGCCCAGAGCAGCTCTAGAGCAGGCGGACAGTTTTCCCAGTCACTGTCAAGAAGTCATCATCGGCCAAGGCCCGCAGTGCTTCTTCAAACATATCTTTGGTAATTGCCTTTGGGGAAAAGAAATACATATTTTACTTCAAGTCCCCACTCAACTGTTAAGAAACAATCATTTTAGCAGCAAATGTACCACCTGGAATTTTCCTCTTTCTGGTGGTGGTTCTTCCATATGCTTGGAAGTCGCCCCATAAAGGCCCAGGTGGTAACTACTGTAGATGTGGCGCCAGACACATCTGTGGTTAAGTACTCAACTTTGCACTGACTGTGACCATGCAGTGTAGATACCAAGTAAAAAGGGTGTTACAGAACCAGACCTGCAGCTGGGCTGGGCTTGCACAGTTCTTGTTACTGAATAGCTCAAACCTATTCACCAAAGGACATCTGATTATTTCAACCCTATTTCCAAGTCAAACATGGAGAAAATCTCCTGAAGGGAACACAAAACAATTTAGATAACTTCTTTCTTTCTGCTGAGAAAGATTTTTGTTAAAGGGTAGGTGCACTCATCAGGGTGACAGAAAGTGAGAAATCACCCCCAGGGAGGATGGCCACACGGCAATTCCTTCTCCTCTAGTCTCCTTTTGGGATTTTGGGTATCTGGTGTGAGTTTAAAGCTGCTGAGTTTGGAACTTGGACCATAGTTGACCACATGGGAGTCTAGCGCCTTAATCACTATGCTACCTGCTAGCCCCAGCCTACTTATTTGATGATGGGTTTATAAATAATATTTATTTTCTGCTTTATTCTTGTCTACATTTATTACTTAAGCAAGAAAATGAGGGGGGAAAAAAAAGGATAGCCAAGGAGGGAAAGGAGAATAATTCTGTTAAATAAAAACATACTTATCAACACTTACTATGTCAGATTGTCCCCGAATATCTTCAAAAAGTTGCTGGTACTTTAAAGCTGGTGTTTTGCCCTTGGATAAAATAAGCTTTTTCAGTGCTTCAGCTAATTCTTCTTTCCGTTTACGAGATGTGGCACTCATTCCTGATTTTATAAGAAATCAATAAAAATATTCCCATGAGGAAGTGCAATGTTCCCAATTCCCCCAAGTAACCCTTTAGTAGTGTTGCTATGAAAGGTAAGGGACAATGGCTGGCAGAATCCACTCAAACGCATGAGTTCCGCGTTCTCGGCTGTTTCTGACTTTTCTAAGGCAGCATCTGCTACTTTCTACTGAAACAGGCTTATGTCATCTGTATAGGAGGCATGGTCACTGCTTGTTAGGAAATGAACTGCTTCTTTAAACAGGTTGACGTGGGATGCCTAGACAGCAGAGGCAGCAGAATCCTTTGAAAATCATCTACAGGGCAGCCCTGGTGGTACAGGGGCAGGGGCGCTACTGCACAATGATGGAGACTGTGTAGGAAGGCGCCGTTTGCCAGGTCCACCACTACCTGCCAGGCGCAGCTGTGATCCTAACAGCGACAGGGCAGGGCCAGAGGGAAGGACAGCAGTGTTAGGATCCTGCTCGGTGTGCTATCTTCCCTCTCTCATGAAGGAAATACTTAAGGACTTTGCTTCAAGTGACTTACCCATTAGGTTTCTTTAAACAGGTTGACGTGGGATGCCTAGACAGCAGAGGCAGCAGAATCCTTTGAAAATCATCTACAGGGCAGCCCTGGTGGTACAGGGGCAGGGGCGCTGCTGCACAATGATGGAGACTGTGTGAGAAGGCGCTGTTTGCCAGGTCTACCACTACCTGCCAGGCGCAGCTGTGATCCTAACAGCGACAGGGCAGGGCCAGAGGGAAGGACAGCAGTGTTAGGATCCTGCTCGGTGTGCTATCTTCCCTCTCTCATGAAGGAAATACTTAAGGACTTTGCTTCAAGTGACTTACCCATTAGCTGAAACCTGAAATACCAATTGCTTATGTATCCAAATAACACTTGAAGCTTTTCTGCTTAATGCAAATGACAAACCTGTGGTCAGAATGGATATGTCCACGATGCCAGTCCGTGGGTCGGTGGCAGATTGCTTCAGGGCCTCCCGGTGAAGGCGCTTTGCCTCTTCCACGTCAATTGCTTCAACTTTGTTAGAAAATCGCACTTTAGCATGGGCTTCTGACAAGCGAATCAGTGATTCCAGTTGTCGAGGGTATGCAGAGACCATTCCTCGGCTGCTGCCAATCTTCCTCATGTCCACATAAGCCTCGTGTAAGGGAAAAGAGAAGCAACAGCTACCTTAGTTTTGTGGTTGAACTCTGAATAGTTGGAGTTCTTTATGGCATCCACATGTACTGAAGGGAATCAAAAAGCAGATCCAGCCCTGGCCTCAGGGAACATCAACTGCTACACACTTAACCCAGGGCAAGCTCAGAAGCCTGGAGGGGGGGAGTTCAACACGCAACATGCAGCAACGGCTGGAATGTGCTCATTGGCAGACATCTGGGCAGGCTTCTCGGAAAAGGAGGGATCTGATGCAGCTTTAATTAACAGAGAAGGGCACAATATGTGGCACAAGGAGCAAGCTGCAGTGAGGGTGGACAAACCATCAGAATTGTGCTCAGGGACAATTCTGGTTCACACCCCCACCCACCCCTGGCTCAGGTGAGGTACATCTGATGAGGTGCATGAAAGATGAATGGGATACTGTGACAAAGGCAGGTGATAATTTTATATTGAGGTGACATAAATTAATTTTTCATGAACCCTCAAGAAAACAACAGAATGTAAAATTATTTGCATTTACAACTTTAATTTGGTCACTTCCGGGTGCTCACTTAGGATGTAAAGCCCATCAGAGCATGCCTTACTATGGCAAGGCTTGGATGCCTGCAGATGTGCTACTGTGCACTGCTGCCCACACGAGCGAGCCCAACACACTAACTAACCACTAGAATTTTTACAAACCAGTGAATGCAAGCTTAGAGAAACTTGATGAGTTGTCAGAGGTACAAGGTTACATGTACCACTTCCCATATGTGAACTCAAGTTCTGCTCTTAAAGTCACTGTGTCTATGGGTATTTAAATATGGAAAGCATATGTGGTGTTTCCATGAAGAAATCTCCCCCTTTTACAACATGTGGAAAAGTACTTTTTGAAATTGTTATAAAAAAATAGTTATCGATCAGTAGTTATCCAAATAGGCCTGCTTACCTCGATGAGAGTCTGGCTGGCTTCTTCACTCAGCCGGGGCACGATGGTGCTGTGGGCATATGCTATGTAGTCCTTTAGCACCGCCATGTCCAGGAGCTCCTCCTCCGCCTGCTCCTCACTCTGGTAGTATAGTGCTACCAGATGGTGAGCCAATCGCCTGTCATAGGCTTCATCCTGAGGGTCTAGCATGAGGAAAATGTTTTACAACATGTGGAAAAGTCCTTTTTGAAATTGTTATAAAAAAACAGTAATCGATCAGTAGTTATCCAAATAGGCCCGCTTACCTCGATGAGAGTCTGGCTGGCTTCTTCACTCAGCCGGGGCACGATGGTGCTGTGGGCATATGCTATGTAGTCCTTTAGCACCGCCATGTCCAGGAGCTCCTCTTCCGCCTGCTCCTCACTCTGGTAGTATAGTGCTACCAGATGGTGAGCCAATCGCCTGTCATAGGCTTCATCCTGAGGGTCTAGCATGAGGAAAATCAGGTCAAACCTGAGGAGGTAAAAGTAAAAACATATTTTTCTTTTTGGGATACCCACATACCTCCAGATATAAAGGTTGCTTGACACCGTGGACACACACAGCACGTGCTTACTGAGGGCCACCAGGGAGACTAGGCATCTTCTATTCATGCTGCTGAAAAGCAGTCCAGCGACATAGCCATTACGCTAACTGCTGGTCCCATGTGTGGCCCCACCTTTTAGGTTTCCCCGGCAAATGGCTGAGGGTCAAGTAATCATATCAAAGGGAAACAAGAAAATGGTACTGCGATCTTGTAGACTGGAATATCTGATGAAAATACATCAACAGTTTCTAAGAAATAAAATCCAACTTGGGAAAAAAAAAGAAAAAATGTGACTAAAACACTAAAATCCATTTATGAACTACACCAACATCTGGGGGAACTGCCCATTTCTTCTTTTTTAGGTTTTCTGCCATACGGCGTTATATGCTCATCAGAGAGGGAGAGTGAGAAATCACTCCTTAGGGAGATGGCCATTCTCAGTCCTTTCTCCTCTCAGGATTTTGGGCATGCTCCCCGGCAAATGGCTGAGGGTCAAGTAACCACATCAAAGGGAAACAAGTAAGAAAATGGTACTGCGATCTTGTAGACTGGAATATCTGATGAAAATACATCAACAGTTTCTAAGAAATAAAATCCAACTTGGGAAAAAAAAAGAAAAAATGTGACTAAAACACTAAAATCCATTTATGAACTACACCAACATCTGGGGGAACTGCCCATTTCTTCTTTTTTAGGTTTTCTGCCATACGGCGTTATATGCTCATCAGAGAGGGAGAGTGAGAAATCACTCCTTAGGGAGATGGCCATTCTCAGTCCTTTCTCCTCTCAGGATTTTGGGCATGCATGCACATGCACTGGCATGCATGATTTTCAACCCACAGGGTCTGGGACTTGAACTGTGTTCCACCATGTGGGAGTCCAGCGCCTTAACCACCATGCCATCTGCTGACCCTGAAAGTGCCCATTTCTGAGAAAGTTTGGGTTATGTGACTGCTTTCACAAATTTAATGTTCCAGAACCTTATCTACCATGTGAAGCTGTCCTCTGCATGTGGCTGATACTCAATGGTGTCTTTAAGAATGAGACAAGATGGGACCAGCAGATGGTGTAATGGTTATATTGCTAGACCCCCATGTAGTTGACCATGGTTTGGGTCTCAGATCTGGTAGCTTGAAACTCATGCTGGGCATGTGTTCATGTATGAGCACCCAAACTCCTGAGAAGAGAAGGGATTGGGATGTGGCCACCCCCCAGGAGGGGTGCTTTCTCACTTAATGTCTTTCTGGCAAGCACATGTATCCTATAGCAAAATCTCACTTAAAGAAAAAAAAAAAAAAAAAAAAAAAAGAGGAAAGAGCAGGGAGTGGTAGTAATCTGAAAAAGATGTCTAAATGACAAGTTTCAAGAATAACATGAAGATGTACCTACCCAGCTGGGCAGAGAATTAATTTTGGCCCTGGAAATCCTGACCAAACTTGAAACATTCTGCATTAGAGTGAAGCATTTTTATTACCAGTTGGTGACTTAACACTTCATTCTCATCTTACCCTTAATATTCTACAAGTGAGCAAAATAAAAACATGTTTCATAAAAGGTAAGTCTTATTACCTCGATAATAATGTATGAGGTAGCTGGATGTTTTCAATGGTAGTTTTTTTAGGGTTCCACTGAGACTCGATGGGATTTGCTGCTGCCAGGACAGAGGTGCGTGCATTGAGCTGACAGATAATCCCAGCCTATTTAAGAGAGAAGCACCATTAGAACCTCATCTTAGCTCAGGCAGGAGGGGCTGCCTCTTACTAAACCCACATTCTTTCTGTTACATCTCTGGTATCTGAGAACCACACCACCTTTATTAACATCAACAGCTCCACGCGGGCACGCCAAGTCCTTAGACTGGTGCCGAGGACAGTTCAGGCAGATGTATGCTTTAATCACGTCCTCCTCAGAAAGCAACCCCCCCAGCAGGAACTTTAGGATGAACTCAAGCTCTGTGGATGCCAATGCCTGTGAGCCCATACAGCAAAAATGCGAAAGAGGACACCCTGTAGAAAACACCTAGGGACTGAGCTGTAATCTTATGTGACAGCATTATTGCCCCACCCACCCTAAGCCCCCAGTTAAGCCAAGGTGAGGCTCTTCATGGGGCCACTGGGCTCAGCGGCATGCGCCCACCTTGGCGATGGAGAGGGTCTGCTGCTCCATGACCTCGTGCAGCACTGCTCGGGTGCTTTCACTCATCTTGTCAAACTCGTCGATGCAGCAGATGCCGTTGTCGCTCAGGACCAGGGCCCCAGTCTGCAGAACCAGCTGCCGTGTCTCAGGGTCTTTCATCACATAGGCGGTGAGGCCGACTGCGCTGGAGCCCTTCCCTGATGTATACTGACCCCTGGGGACCAGGTTGTACACGTACTGCAGCAGCTGGGACTTGCTGGTGCCAGGGTCGCCACACAGCAGGATGTTGATCTCGGCACGGAATTTGCCTCTTCCCGTGTGACTGAAATCCTTCCTTGCTCCACCAAAGAGCTGCAGCAAGATTCCCTGCATACACGTAGGACATGCACTTACTGCTGACCTTACACTTAGCTCAACCTGAGAGGTACTTTTCTACCCTATAGACAAGGACTTCCATTAAATCGAAGGGAGGCAGAATGAAGCACATGGCCCAGGTGCCTGCATGCCTAGGCTGGGGCTGCCTGGACCACCATGGGTTCGGATCTCTGGATCACGTTTGGATACCAGGTGGCCATGCTTAGCACCCTGAGGAGCAAGAGGGCGGAAATCACAGCATGATGAGACCCCCGCCTCATGTTCATGCTTGCTACCATAAATTAAAGTTAAAAGGACCTGAAAGTGCTCATCACTCCAGTCATCCCTGATCTATGTACACCATGCATACAATCACGCTAGAATGCTAAAGGCCACATGGATGCCTGGTCTGACCCCGTGTGGCCTTTCTTGGTTTAGAAACCCAAGTTCAGTGCACAGACAGGAAGTGGACAACAGTGCACAGAAATGGACAATAGTGCTGTGATTCTCCCTGACCAACAGCCTCGTCTGGGTGCCAGTGCCTTGCTCTGCCAAGCTGGCCCGGTCTTATCCTGTGGGGGGAGAGGGAAGGAAAAAAGATCCCAGAGGACTGCAGATCCCAACCGTACCCATCATTACCTTCTTTATATCTTCATGTTCATAAATGCTCGGAGCCAAGGCTGATGCAAGTCTCTCATAAATGTCTGGTTTTCTGGAAAGCTCCTTAAGCATTTCCACACGCTTCTCTGAAAAAAGTTTCTGTTCTGCTTCTTCATCGAGGCCATGGAGACGTTTTGCATCCGTTTTCCGATAATGAATGACATCGATGTGGGTTTTATAGACAGACTTCACGTTACTCACTCTAGGATTGACTCGAATAGGCACTGCTCGATAGATGCCTGTGGGCACAACCACGGGACACATTTCACCCTCCCGCACCTTCCTGAGAGGGGCACAGTAACCAGTAGACAGCAGGCAGCGCTTGGCAGTGACTCAGGCCTGTGTGGCAAAGCACACGGGTTTGAAGCAGCACATCTGAAGACCAGTCCCCCTGTGACTGGCTAGCCAGACTGCTGAAAGCTGTCTGAGCATAATACCACGTGACTGTTTGGAGGGCAAAAAGGAACGACTCTGCCTCTAGCTAGCACCATGCTCGTCTCACAATCCTGTGTAATCAACAGCATTTTCACTTCCCTCATCTGGGCGCACAGAATCTATGAAGTGCTAATGGCACAGGTATAGGAAAGTAAAATCTCCCAATGCTCGGAAATAAAAAACGATCTTAAAATCTCAAATCCATGGAGCCAGCAGGATGGTGTGGTGGTTAAGGTGCTGGACTCCTAGATGGACCTGGAGGCTTGCTTTCTCACTTTCCCTTTTTCTCTCTGGTCAAGTTAAAATATTAATGAATATAATAACAAAACACTGCAATCCTTTAAAATTATTAAGATTATTTCACAGACAAGATGATGGTCTATTTCCATGAAGGGTGAAAGAAAAAAATGACAATTTTCTGCAAATAATAGGTAGTGTTTCTGGGCAAGCAGTTGTTCCCTGCTCTGCTTTCTAAAGAAAAACAAAACAGAACAAAAAAAATCACATTAGATGGGGCCAGCCCAGCACTTAACTGCTGTGCACAGACAGGCTGCTGGATCCCAGATGGCCGACCATGGTTCAAATCCTGTTCCTGGCAGCTTGAAAAACATGCCAGGAGCATGTTCACGCATGCTTCTCTCATTCCTGATGAGGAGGAATGAAGGAAAAGACTATGGTGTGACCACACTCCTGGGGGGTGCTTTCTCTCTCTCACACAGGCACACAGGCCTTCTGGTAACTGAAAAACTTCTTTCCTCTCTCTCTGTCCCTCTCCATGTACCCTATAGCAAATTAAAAAAAAAAAAAAAAAAAAGTTATCTATACTTCAACCACACCAACTCATCCATTCTTGGGAGATTTAAAGTCTCCCAAACTGGTATGTCTGATGTTTATCTTTTCTGGATCCCAAAGTAGAAGCTGGGAACTCCAGACTGGCTGTTCCCTGCTTTGTGAGGAAGGCTTTCAGACCTTGAGTGTCACCACTTTAACTGCACCTACGGCTGCTGAGTGGCAGAGCTGACACACACCCTTGTAGTCTGCATACTTTGTATACGTTCTCCCTAAATTCCAACTACTCTACACACTTACTGCTCCAGACGGCAGTGACAACTGCTGCACTTCACCAAGGGGGACAGACAGAGCGAGAAACCTGACTTGCCAAGGAGCAGAATACATGGACCGTGTTCCCAGGCCCTACTCGGGGCAGGCTCTCCCTAACTCAGGCCCCATATACCCACCAACAAAGAATGATGTGGCCATCAGCACACCCATCCCAAGAAACCAAGTACCCTGACACCTCTAAGAGCTGAGAAACTGCCACCCTCATGTGGCACCATGGGAGTTGTACTCTCTTGGCAGGAAGATCTGCACCCTGGTGCCATGATTTACTGTGGTGCCCGAGCCACAGCTCCCACACTCTGAACCTCAGTAGGTGAGTGTGAAACAAGGTATTCTGACCTGTCCGCTATCACAGATAAATAGTGACCCTTCCCTGCGTGTTTGGGAAACAAGCAGGCCATTACTTACTAACAGAACTAGAGCTGGGCTGGCTGTGGACACAGTGGGAAGGCAATGCTCTGCCCACAGGGCAGCTGCGTGGAAATTGGGGGTCCGGTCCTACTGACCTGCTCACACTGGGAGGACGACAGTGGCGTGATCCTACTGAGGGTGCTTGTCTTGTTCTGTCACTTTCTCAAGGAAATAAAAAATAAACTTTCAAAGTTCTGATCCTTCTCTGAAGGGCTGGCAGAGCTCGGATCTCTGCACCAGCTTCAGCTGAAGCTGCTCTCATGACGCCAATGCAAATAAACACCATGTTCTGGGGTAGACACCAAGAGCCTAGTGCCCACAAGAACCATGGGATCCAAAACCCAAGCCTGGTAAGATCTGCAAGCCTGCGCAGTGCTGGGCCACAGCACTGAGAGGGAAGGTTCAGTGGGTGATCCCCAGCCACCGCAAGTACACTGCCTACTGCAGGCAGGGCCAGCACATCGCATCGGCTTCACGCCCCAGTCACTGAGAAGTGGCACCAAAAGCCAGACAGCCCTACATTCTTACCTGTAACATTCACTCTGTCCCCAGGTTGAACCTTGTCCACAAGGTCATTATGAGCAAAAAGGATGACAGTGTGGGGCGTCTGCCCTGCAGGCATGTCTTCAGGGGACTCCTGGAGCTTGATCTGAAGGAAAAGCAGTGATTAGGAAGCTTGGGAACAGCTACACGCTTGCTGCTCAGAGATAGCTGCTTTGGTATCTAGCATCTCCACTTCTTTTTAAAACATCGTTTCAGTTTATAAGTTGTTAAAGTGAAAAGCCTGCTTTGAATATGCAGTGAACGCATTTACAAGGAGGTGGTTTACTTCAGTACTCTCCCCATTAGGGGAGGGAGGCAACTTAGGTGGTTCCTATTTTTTGCCCCAGTAAGGTCATATGCCTATCACTCAGCATACATGTTTTCCACATCTTTAACCACGTCTTTGTAAGTTGCTTCAGGAGGACTTTGTCAGGGGAACAGCATTCGCTGTCACAGTTCAGCTTGAGACTTCTGTGGATGCCATGAATACTTGTGTTCCCATCTAAAAGCACTTGCCCAACAGACACTGTCCAGGCAGTGCCTCCTGCTGGCACCTGTTCTAAGTGTTGGAGATTCAAAATGAACAAATTTCTCTGCCTTGTCTGCGGGTGCCTTAAGACACTCACAGACCAGAACGCGTGTGGCAGACCCAACAGTGACAACTGCGGTAGAAAGAAACATGACGGGAAAAGGAGTGGAGGAGATGCTTGGGAAAGGCTTTCTGTGGCCAGGGATCCCAAGGCCAGCCTACGGATGTCAGGGTTTTATCTAAGACAGCCAAGGAGGCTATGAAGGGCTCCAGGAACATCAGACTACAACCTCCTGGGCAGCAGGGGCTCTGCCTTTGTATCTCCAGCTCTCAGTTTCACTTAGGGAAATGGTTTAAACATGAACAAAATTAAAAACAAAAAGAGCCAGCAGGTGGCGTGGAGGTTAAGGACCTGCAGGCTTGAAAATCATGTTGGGCATGTATAAATATACACCCCAAATCCTGAGACTGGAAAAGAGAGTGCAGTATGGCCATCCACCCTGAAGGGTGATTTCTCTTTTTTCTCTATCTGGCAAGCACACACACCCTATGCAAACTAAAACAAAAACAAAAATGCAAAACACCTTAAAAATCTTTGTTCTTACATGTAACTTTTACATGGTTATAATCATAATAAAAGACTTTCTGAACTCCTGCACTTATTTCTATATTCCATTTAAATAACTTCACCTGAAAATGTTCATGATTAAAAGAGGCAAAAAGTAAAAATTTCCAGCAAGATTTGTGAGAAAAACTTCAGGAAAAAATTTCTATCCACTTTTTACCCATGGGACAGTTGTTAAACAATGGAGTATGACCAAATAATTCTGACCTCAAATGTTTAATACACTCACATCTAACCTACCTACAAAAATTACACAATCTTAAATATTTTCCATAAAAGCATCTCATGTTAAGTTTGATTTGATAAATCAAAGAGTAGACTAATTCATTTGTTAACTTATAACCTGAAACTTTTGAGATCTTTACAGAAGAAAAAGATTTTAATTCTGTGCTCCGGGAGCTCCAGACTACCATCCCCTATAAATTGCTGCCATCAGAGGAGAAATGGAAGCAGCTCAATGCCACGAAGAAACTCAGACTTAAGAGTTTTTGAGTGAGAAGTTAAATCTGCCCTCTTCAGACTTCAGACCCAGGCAGGTCAAGTGTGTGCCCCGGAGCCCTTCCCCAGCCAGGCTGCTGCATACCATCTGCTTGTCAGAGAAGAGGGAGCGGTTGTGGATCAGTGCCATGCTGTGGGTGGTGTGGCAGCGGCTGCAGACAGAGGGCTCTGCAATGCGGCCGCGGTCCATCTCCACCCGGGTGGTGTGGGCGCACACTTGGCACTGGAAGAAGGCCTCCTGCATCTCAGGGATCAGCTGGGATGTCCTGATGACCATGCCACTGATGGTGAGGAGCTGGTCAATGTCTGTGGGGAGAGAGGTCAACTTGTCTACCAGCCACCTGCCACAGGCAGCTGGGCTTCTTGGTGCCACAGCCTGTGCAGAAACAGCTCAGCAGGCACCCTTGGGACTAGCCTAAGGTGCCCTAGCTGTCCTCTTCTCTAGTGCTGTGAACCTCTGGCTTTCTCTTCCTCAGGACCTCCTGATCCCTGGGTACCCATCACCTCCCAGTTAGCTCCATTTCCAGGTGTTGGATTAATCCTTATATTTTGCACATGGCCTCCAACCTCACTCAGGATGCCACCTGGGTCTTCTGTCTCCTGAGAAAGCTTTAGAGCAGATGGTCTGGACCTTGGGGTGCCTTCAGCATCTCATTACAGCACCTACCTCAGAACTGTGGAGCACTCAAGGAGTCAGTCTGCACAAAGCCTAGGATAGTGCCTTGCATAGAATAAGCATGCCACACTTCAACCAATCCCAACACTCTGTGAAGACCGAAAACCCCTTGTACAGTCTATCTCTTGCCTGGGCTTCCTCTATAGTGTGGACTTTTCCTGACCCCTTTTCTCCTGAGACCATACCATCCACCCGGTTTCAAGTGGTTACACTGTTCGAGGTAAAGAACAAAATATGGTCTGGGCCAGCCTGAAGGTGCATGTGTGTGAAATTCCAAGAAAAGGATTTGTAGGCTAGCCATCCTCACATCTTCTTGTTTCTGCCTATGTCTATTTTCCTTCTTTCTTACGATTTTTCTAATGTAAGACGCTTTATCTCTCAGACTTAACTCTATTATATGAACACCACCATAGTTTGCTGTTTTATCATCCAAGACAAATTTCTTCATGCTTTCTTTCCAAACCCTAACTGCCACCCAAATCTCTTGGATGTTCTCCCACCTGGTCTGGTCTGTCTGCGCTGTTCTATTATTCTGTTTCACCTTTTGTTTTTTTCATGTCCCAGATGAGACTTCTTTCTTGAGCTAGAGGACAGAGGTCATTTTTTGTTTTTGCTTTCTACAGTGTCTCTAAAAAAAGGCCCATCTAGGAAAATAACTAAATCATATTTGGGTTAAGCTCACCTTAAAGAAGAAACTTGTTAATACTCTCCTTTTTTTTTTAAACCAGATATTTCAGTTAAAAAAGGTATAGTGGGTTTATAGTGTATAGAATAATCAAGTCTCTATTACTTTGTCAGCTTATAATTTATCACCACCACTCCCATCACCAATTTTTAAAAGAAGTTCAATAAAATAAGGTTTTGTTAATTTTCATGGAGGGCATTTTCCTGCTGTTGAACATATTACCTTCTGGATTCAGGTTTCTCATATTCTTAGTCTTCAATGCGTTGAATGGTCTCACTTGAATTTGATGTTCTAAGATTGAGTCAGGGTAACGGTCAAAAAAGATCTCATTGACGGCCATGTCAAAAGTCGGGATAACTTCCTGCAAGAGCAAGTACCAGGAGCCAAGCTATCTTTGTGTTCTCATCTCGGTATTAAGTATAAAAAATAAAGCATTTCATACTAGTCTAAGTATAAAAATGAAAACATTTGGGCACAGGCCCAAAACGTCACTCCACAAAATCACGCACATGCCATTTTCAAACTGTAGGTCCACGCAACCCTCCTACCTCTGTATATATGTGTCTAGGTTAGATGTGATTACACAGAAAAGCGGCTTCTCGATGTCTGGTGTATTTTATGTGGTTGATGGGGAGGGAGAGAATATAAAACTTAATTTCAGTTTTATGTTTTCCTCCATAATGAAATCTCCTAGTAGATCAAACTGTATTCACTTCATTCCTATTAGGAAACTTTACAGATGAGAAAGCAATGTTTGGGAGGCTATGGAACGTGATCAAGGTTACAGCCAGTAAGCAGCAAAGTGCAACTCAAAGCCAAGTGTGCTCTCTTCCAAACCCCACGTAAGTCAGAACAGCTGATGTCTAACATTAATTGACTATCAAGTCTGGAATAAACAGTGTGGTTGATACATTTATACAGATGGCAGGAAGAATGAAAGAAAAGGATGGTACTTAAGACAACTTAAAATGAAATATGGTTTCTTAAAAAGGTATTTACAGGAGTGGCAGGTGGCATGGTGGTTAAGTCTTGCTCTGTCACTCTTTGGTCAAATTAAAAGAAATAAATGAATAAACAAAGCTAAATAAGATAATTGCCCATTCTATGTTCATCAGATAATGCTGTGAGGACTGCAGCGTGCACTGGAAAAAGACATTCATGCTCTGGAGAAACACTCTCTCCTCACCAAAGACATTCTGCTATTCAAAAACATTCTCTTTAGATATCCACTGTAATTCAACCAGAAGCCAATTCTTAGGACCAGCATATGGTGAAATGGTTACATCGCTGGACTGCCAAAGAGTCCCAGATCTGGTGGTTTAAAACTCAGGCTGGGTGCATGTGCGTGCACACCCAAGATCCATAAAGGAGAGTGGAGAAGGGACTGTGGTGTGGCCATCCCTCCTGGGGGGGGGGGGGGGGGGGT